TCCAAGGCAGCAGCATCAGCAACAGCAGCAGCAGCCGCGGCAGCAGGTCAAACTTAAATATTTAATGAAGCGCTTAATGCGCAAGAGCTGCGGCCCGCCCCCGCGCCGGCTTAATTGCCGCGCCCAAGCTTTTTGGTCAAGGAGCTCGCCTGCAAATATTTTCAACAAATTTTTGCTTAATGCAAAAAATATTTCATTGTTACGAGGAGCTTGGGCTGGGAAGTCAGCCCCCGTAGCAGCCAGTAGCCTGCTTACTGGCAATAAATTTACGGAGCGGGCGTGCACATAAGCAGCCCCGAAAATGTTTGCGGCGGGCCTCTAAGCCCAGGCATGCGGTCGCCCAGGCATGTGCAGCATTTCAAGCACCGCACCACACAACAACAACAGCTGTAACAACACCAAAAATAGTACACAAAAGAATTGAAAGCCATTGCCATACAATTTTGGCCAACGGTGGGCAGCAGGTGCTAGCTGAAAGTGATGTCAACTAATCAATTAGAAGTTTTTAGCCAAATTCGAATATGAATTTCATATATGTAATATATAAAATAAAATATCCGAATGAACCGGATGAAGTTCTTTGTTTTTGATATTTAATTCAATTTGCAGCTTAATTCAATATTTTTTTGGGCATAATAAAATAAACTGTGAATGAAATTTGTCATCTCAAACATTTACAATTTAAAAAATTTACTTTTAATTGTATTAAAATCTTAAATAAATGGTAAGTAATTTAAAAATAAACTATCTTAAATCAATTTGAAAATTGTTTTGATATTCTAAGTCGAGCTAATTGCTTAATGACTACATAGCAAATAACATAGCACAATTAGGTTGCTTTATATTGTGCTATATTTGTCATTAAATTTTTAATTTTTTTATTATATTTTAATATACATACTTTTGTTGTTAAATGCTAAATAATATGTTATTTAGCTATATGTTTTCCATAAAGGCTTTTAGCGTGAAAATTGCTGCCAGCTCTGAAATGTTGTCGCTGCATGGAGCTGCGGGCAAGCATTCCTTGCAACAACAACAACAACAACGACTAACAACAATGGTCGAGGCTGCTTAACATTTAAAGTGAACAATGAAATATGCTTGGCTGTTCCAGCGCTGTGATGTTGCTCAGACGCCCCGCTGCCCTCCGCTAGGCGACCGCCGAGGTATTCGCTTTACTTATTTACACCAATCAAAGGTGTTGTAGTTTTTGTTTGTGTGTGTGTGTGTGTGTGCTTGAGCTTCGTGTGTTTATTTGTTGTGTTCTCTGTTGATGCGTCGTCGCAGTAAAGAAGGATGCGAGTCGCTTACAAATTACCTATCCACAAACACACGTTCGCCACAGCAGAGCACATTCGCATAGTCGACACCCACACATGAGCAGATGTAAAGGGACTGCCAAGGAAGAAGGCAAAACCCTGCGGCGCCTGCAGTTCTGCGGCCCATTGCGCGCGATAAACTTGCAGCGAGTGTAACGAAATTCGGTCAACATGTTGGCCATGAGGACGGCGAGTGGCCGGTGGCCAATGGGCAAGCGCTGCTGCCATTTGCTGCCCACATGTGGCCATAATTTTTAAGCGCCAAATGAGAAGCAATTCATTGACCATGATGTCTGCTAGTTGCCGTTGCCGCTGCTGCTGCCGTTGCTTCTGCTTTTGCCATTGCCATTGCGATATTCCCAGTCACAGCATTTACATCTATACATTGTTATACTCGTAGCTGTTTGTGCGCTTGTAGCTCGGGGCCCGAGGCCAAAATCCTATTTCGGAGACGTTAGTTTAAGTTTCAGCCAGAATGTTGCGTTTTCTAATTGCTATTTGTGGGCGTACCGGGGGCGTGCGAACTTTCATTTGTGTGTTGGCACTTTCCATCGCTCCTGTCGGGCACATGACTCTAAACTACGACATTGCCAGCATAAAATCGTAAAGGTAAATTACAATGGACGATAACACAGAGCATGAAAGCACAAAAAAGAAAGAAGTGAAGTAAACACTCCTTAAAATTTAAGTATTGTAGCAATTTCAAAAAGGGATAACAAATACAATAGCGTTAAACAGGTAAATATGCTCAATGATCACCTTCAGTTCGTAGTAAAACTAAATTTCATAATTGAATATTGTTGTACATACATAATTTAATATTTTACATTGAAATATTCTTTTGCTCTTCTCTAAGTAGACAAATAATAGTTTTAAAGGCTTTTCCCATTTTTTAATCTGTATCAAATTGAAAACAATTTAATTTAATTTATTTAATTTTAATTTAATTTTATTTGCTTATTTATTTATTTTTTTATTTTTTACCTATATTTTTATTAAATTATTTTTTTGTTTAATCATTTATATACTTATTTAATAATTTACTTATTCATATATGCTTATTACTTTATTTATTTAAAATATGTTGACAACCAAGCGACCACCCTTGCCCCAACTAATATAGTCAGTGATATTACTACTGCGTAATACAATCAGAACATGTTAAAGAGAACATGAACACTAAAAAAATAATTTTGTAAAAAATCTTAAATGTGATTTAGGGTAAAAATGAAATAACTTAAAAATAAATATAGTTAATACAGCGCAAACACAAAGAGAAGAATTGAATGGAACATCAAAACTAAAGAGTCCAGCAAGCTATGAATCTGCTCACAGCTTAGCACTGATAGGGATTTACTGAAAGATAATCTGCTTAAATACCCAGTAGTTAATGCAAGCGAGTTGAATACATAACTCCTTTCAAATATAACCCAACGGATTTTTAACTTCAGTTTTAAGTAGCCAATGTAATTTTTTTTGTATAAATCTTTTGTCAGTTGTTTAAAATAAATTAGAATTCTATTTTTCAGAAATCATCATTTTGATAAGGGAAATTCATTTTCATTTATTAAAAGTTTCATCATCTTGGCTTGAATTAGCTGTAGCTTAGAGTAGAGAAATTTCAGTCAAGTATGTAAAAGTGAATTGCATTGTTGTCAGGACTACTAAGTAACATTGATTTAGGGGATCTTTCAATCTTGAGCTTTTCGTTTTAATTTGATTCATTTGCTTTCAGTGCACGTTGGTCTCCTTCGTCGCATAATCAGAGCGCAGATGTAACAACCCTTTTCGTCTTTTGAGCAATTGTTTTGTTTTTTGCTTTAAAGCCTCTTGGCTGGAAAATAAAATTTATTTTTGCCACCAATATATCCATGTACTATATAAGTCCCATATCAGGCGTACATTGCACAAATAAAATAAAGTTAGCTTAGGACATTTGTCCAATTGTAAATATTGTCACGAACCGTCACACCCGCACACGCACACCCGCACCCGCACACACACACGCATCCGCACACGCAGACGCACAGATGTATATAGATGTTGTTTATGTATAAATGTCAGCAAAATTTACCTAAAGATACGCTGCTTGAATTACCAAGAAAAAATAATACATCGTAGCATGCAACTTGAACAGGCTGTAAAGTATGCTACGCTTTTTGTCAAAGCCCCTTTAATACTCGCAGGCACACACACACACACACACACACATACGAATACAATACACACGCCTAAATAAAAGCAAAACAAAGACACCGAAAACAAAAACACCAACGACATCAGCACAAAACCACAATCGAGATCATTATCAATTACACGCACAGTAGGACACGACTCCAGGACACGGCGACAGAAAACAAAAAAGAGTACAAAAAAACGGAAAACAAAAAGAGCGAGCGTGACGGCAATAGTGTGAGAGCGGGACGCGTAAACACCGAGGGGCAGACAACGAAAACGCAAAGAAAATACGCATGAAATTGCAATTTACATCAAATTCATTTGCACCCATATGCACACACACACACAGACACACACACAGCCACACACACATACTCAGACGCAATTTCGCACGCACATATAGCTGAGTTACAAATAAAATTCATTCATACGCATAATGAAACAAGGCTCGCTTGGCCCCAAGTAACATGCGGCCAGAAAGGATAACAAAGGCATGGCCGAAAATAAGGACAACAATGTTTAGAAATAAACAAACAATTGTAGCCAGTAGCTGTACCACCCGCCTCCCCGCCCGCCTGCTGCTACGCTCAGGCGGCTCCAAGGGGAGGCGCTGAGACCACATGAGGAAGAATAACAACAGCAACAAGAGCAAAGGAGACTCCAAAATTCTTGTTTTGAGTTCGGGGTCGAGCTGCGGCTCACGCATTCATTGTCGCTGGCCGGCCCTTTTATCTCTGTTGGGAATTCGGTTGCACACACAGAGAGATAGCTAAAGAGAAGTAATGCAAGAGGGAGAGGCCATTAAGAGAGAGACACAGAGCGAAAGAGAGAGAGAGAGGATTTGCGCCGGAGGTAGCGAAAATCCACGCCCTGTATGTAAATTATTAGCTAGGCACTTTTTGTGCGGGCGCCTGGAGTTGTCGTCAAAGCCAGAACAATTTTCGGGTAGTAGCAGCAGCATGGGCGGCAGCAGCTGAAAAATGGTCATATGCACACATACACACACGCACGCACACACACACATATTGGTGAAAACAGATATAAATGTAAGAGAGCAGCGAACAGAGAACGAGAGAGAGAGCGCGCCGGTGAATGTAAAACGCCCTTTTGTCGCTTGATTTGAGAAGCTTGTGTAGAGTTGTTGAGCGCAGTTAAGAGCGCGTGTCTCGGCTTTTAAGCGTTAACGTAAGATGCCGACCTCAGATAAGAAGCCAAGCAGAAGGGCCCCAGCACGCAACATAGAGTGAGACCAGGCAATTTCTAGGCGCTGTTCAAGCACAACACAGTGCCAAAACAAGAAGAGAGCGAACGCCGCTCTTTGTCGCTTTGTGGCGCGCAACATGCGCACAGCATCCAAGAGCGACGACAGCAGTGGCAGAGGCAGTAGCAGCGTCACGAGCAGTAGCAGCAGCAGCAGCAGCCATGCGACTCAACAGCGGCAGCATCAGCGCCAGCTGCGAAAACTCTGCCATGCAGAAGCGGCCAACAGTAGTTGCCTCAGAGCCCGCGGGTTGAAGAAAACGTACGCATCGAGCGAGCCGAGCCGCGTCGCGTGTAACCAAACAAAGAAAAGCCAGAGAATAGCAAAAGAAACAAAAAAAAAATACAAAAAAAAAAATACAGTAAAATACCAAAAATTAAATGAAATAAAAAAAGTCGTATATCAATGCCAATCCATAGTAATTTGACACTGGCCAGACCGAAGTTAACCGTTGTGTTCATAAGCGGCAACGAAAATGTCTCCTTAATGTCACGCAAATGAGCAAACAAACATTTGATTGTCACACGTTGCCGCTGCTGCGACTGCTGCTGCGGAACAGCGAGTCTGCGACCGATACCGATACCGACTCATCGTCACTATTGCGAACGGCATCACAGTCAGAGACCTTAGCACCGGCCTGTGCCACGTTTCACGCAGGGCGTGTGCTGCTTCAATATCAACATAAGCGACAGCAGCTACCGCAGCGGCACCACCCACACCACCAACGCCAACAACAGCCGCTATCTACACTGCAGCAACAGCAACAGCAACAGCAACAGCAACAGCAACAGCAGCAGCAGCATCAGCGTTGTGTGTCTGCCTACCCCTATCGAAATCCATATTCGCAGTCGTATTCGCATCCGCGTTCACATCCGCATTTAAAAACATGTGCGCGCTCGCGTGTGAGTGTGTGTTTAATTGAAAAGTCATCGCCTTGCCACAGCACGAATCGCTGTCAAATGCAACTCAATGCGACCGCCTCTGAAATCTCAGTAAACTAATACGTCAAGTGTTGTTCAATTCTAGTTTTTGTCGTAGTCGTTGCCATTGTCGTTGCCGTCGCCGTCGCCGTCGCCGTCACGTCTGCCTCAGCCTTTGAATCTCTGTCGCCGTTTCGCCCTCTCAGCCTCTCTCTGTATTACCCACGCCGTGTGTTTTCTTTGCCGTGTTGGCTGCTTGTCAGCAGGCCTCGAATTTCATTTCGTTTCCGGTCTCGCAGGTCGGTAGCTGGTTATCTGGTCCCTGGACCCGTGCCCGGTACTCTCTCAGTCGCCCAGTCTGTCTGTCTGGCTGGGCAGCTGTTACACTTATTTTAACCTTTGCGGCGCGTTGACTTTTGTGCGCAAATTGATGTCAGCAATGTAAGTGTGTCAGAAACACAACCTGCACATATCTATGCACACACACACACACACACCTATGATATTTGTCTTTGTATGTGTTGTTCATGATTTTGCTTAACTGTTGCGTCAAGTCTCAGCGTTCAATGCGGGAGACACTGAAATGCTCCGCACAGCAAAACGCAAAGAAAATCTTCTAAAGAATATGGCTTAATTATAATTATATAATAAATAAGAGTTCGACATAAAATTATCAAACGCGAAGCATGAATAAACTCTATTCAGCTTGATTTCTTAACAGTTTAGCTGGCTTGTTCTGAATATCATTATATATTTATATTTTTCTAAGCATTTTTATAGCTTATAATAAAATAGACTCTCTGTATATTTTCTATCAATATAAATATTTAAATTTCTGTATCACTTATATATTTTACCATCGACTCTGGCTTGACTCCCATTCAGATTGCGTTGCCGCTTGTGATGATTTCTACAGACGTTCTCGTGCTCTAATTAATATGATTTACTTTTGCTGCGGAATGCCTAGAGGCTTTGTTCTCTCTGCTTTGCCTGCTGCTGCTCGTTTATTTGTATTTTATTCCCATTTACCATTGCGACTGGCAATCCCCACGCATTACTCATACGCCATGTCTGACCTGCCTGTCAATCAGTCATTCAGTTAGTCAGTCAGTCAGTCATTTACTCAGTCAGCTCATTCCCTATTTCCAGCCACTGCTTTTTATCTTCGTTTTCTGTTCTGTTTTTGTTTTTGTTTTGTTTTGTTTTTTGCTTTTGTTGTTGATTTTAACGTAAATTCCCACTTGCTAAGTTGCCAGGATGTCTTGTTTTTGTGTATAGGCTTCCTTTGTCTTGGGCTTTGTCCTGTCAGAAGCACCCATAAACATGCACACAGATACGCACATTGCCTGTAGACATGTACGTGTGTGCGTCTGTGTGAACTTTAGGTGACGCCAACTTGAACGACGTTGTCGATTCCGGCTGTTGCTCCACAAATATTTTCGTTTTTCAAGTTGATTTTTGGTCTTCAGCTGAGCGCCCTTTGTTATTGGTTCAACCTCGTCGCACCTCACAGCTATTCGCCAATATGCGTTGAATCGTTGCTAAATTGAATATCAAGTGTTTATTTGCATTGGACAGCCAATGCCACGCCCACAACTTCCTGTGACCCAGCCCTGGCTGTAAGTGATTATATGACATTGATGTATATTATTCCTCGCTGAGCGTTGCATTCTGCCAATGTTCCATCTGATCTATCACAGCACTTAAGTGAACCGTTTGTGCAGCGCAAACAAAATTAAACAAGTTGAGACTTTGTGTCCACAAAAGTTGCACTTACTCTAGCCGTTGCTGTTGCTGCTGCTGCTCTTAAAGAGTGGAGCAAGCAGCTATAAACAAGCCACTTATGCTTATAATATATTTATGCCGATTTTCATTAAAGTGCGTAAAACTTATTGAACTTAAAGTTTTGTGTTAATAATTAGCTATAATAATATTATTAGCATTACGTTCATGGTTGAGATTTGATACTTAGTCATGCTCTTGCAACATATTTTTTATTTAAAAAAGAAAATTATATTATTTGGTTTTTTTGGTTTTTAACATATATAAAATAGTTTTAGAACATAAAAATTATTAAATATATTTTATATTTGTATTTTATATGCTCAAATAATTTTATATTTGTATTTTATATGCTCAAATAATTGAGATCGCATCAGCATCTTTGTTAGTCTTGAGTTAGTTTTTAAATAAAATCATTCCCTCATCAATTTATGACAGACTCATAGATGTATATTTGTAGTTAAGAGTCCGAAAAATGAGTGTATTTCTGGAAAGTCAAGTGACTATCATCCGTTATTTATTACAGTGAAGTCTGTTGCGAAATCCACTTCGATTGCGGTCTCAGTTCACCGACTGCCGCTGCCATCGAATAGTTTCCACTTACTGCTCATAAAAAAGTATAGCATACTTTAGTGCGCGACGGGAGTCCAGTTGAACTGTCTGGCTCTGCAGCTGCAACCGCAATGGATAGAGATTGAAAACATCATTGATTGCTTTTTTTCGGATTTATAATATTTAAGCGAAGTTAATAGGCGCAGTTAGTACTGCTGCTTAAAAGGTTGCTTTAAGAGCAAGCTGAATGCATTCTTAAGGCAGCTTAACGTCTGTCTTCCAGTGCATTGTGCACCATTTGTTGAAGCCTCGAAGTGCTTGGGCTGCCGCATTGTTGCTGCCGTTGCACTTAGCTGACCCGCAGTCGCGACGATGTTGCCTAAAAAGCAGTCAGTCTCACAATACCAGCACCAGTCCAACTGTTTCAACTGTCCAACAATTGTGAGGCAAAGCCTCGCCACTGCCACAGTTCGTCTGCCTGTCTGTTTGGCTGTGTGTCTCTCGGTTTGTTGCTGTCCTTTATGTTGCATGCATACAGACATGCATGCATACATATATAAATGGCATTTGCTGTAGTTGTTGATGGACATTTGCTGGCAGCTCTTCTGCCTTCAGTTGGGCTGCTGCTGCCTTTTTATGCGCCACAAATGAAAATGCAGACAGACAACGGGCGCCAGTCGACGACGACGAGTATGAGGACGTCGACCAGGACCAGGACAACGACGTCTGACGATGACGTCGCATTACTGAAGACAATGGAACCAACTAAACTAAAGCCGGCACAGATCTCGCCGGGTTCGTTGGCAACTGCTCTGCAGTATCCACTTCCTACATGCATTTGAATTATGAGTTATAGTTGGGTCCAAAAAGAAAATAAGCAGGCGAACTGGTGAAAAGTGAAAAAAATATGGCCAAGCAACTTGGGCCTTAATTCATAATTATTTTTATGCCAGTGCACTCATTAGAGTTGTTCTTTTTGTTTATATTTCAAAACATTTCCAAGCGGCTCCCATTTTTATTTTGCATTTTCCATTTTCATTTCCATTCCATTTTCTGGCTTTGTCATTTGCATTTCGCATTTGGTTTGCTTTTTCACATTTCAAATTCGCAGCTGCACATTTTCGTGTTTCATATTTAGCTGCTGCCACCGTTATTTCTACTCCGCTGTGCAATTTGCAGCTCTATAATTGTAGGCCCTAGTCCATAGTGTGCACTGCATTTGTTCTTTATACGCTTTTGATAGCAGCTGAATGCTAGATTATTTAGCTTTCTATTTTTTTTTGTCTTCTGTTATTTGTAATTATATTTTTTATGGCTTATAGAGGAAAGTCTGCTGATTGTAAATAAATTGTGGAAAATAAATTAGTAATCTAAATATTTATTAGTGCAGATTTGCAAATGTTTCAAATACAGCCAAAATATTATTTACAATTAATTAATTACCCGAATGTGATTCTTACAACTTCTTCAATTTAAAATACTGCAAAAGAGTTCAGATCAAGACAGATAAACATAGAGGCGTTAAAGGAACCTGAACTGACTGACTGTCTAGGACTATAAAGTTCATAATCTAAAAACAGTAAAGCCGAAGTCACATAATATTAACAACGATTCCTAGGACTTAAGTTATAATATTTACTTGAAGAGCTGCACATTTTACGTAGTCATCAGGCGAATATATACTGTATCGAGTGGCTTACGTAACAATATATAAAATTATATGTATATAACATACATTGGCTATATATTTCATAGTTGCATTGCCAATGCAAAGGCATTTGGTTGCACGATTTTCCGTATTAAACCGAATTTAAAATACTGTTTAAGTTTTTGTTTTTCTTTTGGCAATTTGTCAAATGGGCGTGTCCCATAGTCGGCCTGGCCAGGTCAATGCAGACATGCACAGACACGCACACAAACATGAATTATCATTGTCAGCCAAAAACTTGAATGCGATAAATTGCCAGCAGCAGATGCATTGGGGAAAAATCTATAATTTACAGAAAATTTGCTTCCGAATGCGAGCGGATTGCAAAATAAATTGTTCCACTGTCAATGCGCTCAAGCGGGCGCGCTGAACAAGCGCAAATATGCACATGCGAAAACATACATATGTAACTAAATGTGTGTGTATGTATGTGTGCATGAGTATGTATGCATGTTATACACTTTCATATTAATGCCGCCAGATATGACAGTCAAACACAGCACTGCCTTAGCCAGGCGCTGGCAGCCAAATATTTGGCCAGATAGGACAGCTGCCAAAAAATGGCTGAGAAAAAAAGTGGCGAAAAAGGATTTTCAGTTAATTTGCTTTGTGCTGGGGCATTGGGTAAAAAGCAAGGCTTACGTTTTGGCAAGCTGCTGTTCGCGAAGTGATTGTAAAATTTGTTTATTTTTTGCGGATATTATTAAATCGCATAATTATTTTGAATGTATTTTGCAGCCATGCCAACGCTCAAGACTGCAAACAGGAATTGTTTAAACCTTCGACAACAAAGTGCTGCCAGCAACAAAATATAAACAAAAATACTAACAACAGACTCTAATCACACTGCACAGCTAGAACTTAGCTCCGAGCGCCAGGAATTTAGAGAAACATGATCATGGAATTGTCATTAATCAGGCACTAGATACGATAGCAACAGAAAGCAGCAATAACACCAACCACAACAAGAACAATGATATGTGGCAGTAATTGAAGCGAGACAGCATACGTAACAATTGGGGTCGTAGCAGAAGCTATAGCTACGACAACTAGTTAACCTACCTAACCCGTGAGAAGGCTGCGTGCTGCTCTAAAGCGGCACCATTGCTGCCATTAAAATAGACGCCGCAGCGCAACAGCAACGCTGCCGTCGTCACAATCAACGCCAGCGCCACCATCATCCACACCATCGCCATCGCAGACGACGACGGCGCATCCTAACATCGGGATTCGGCGTGGGCGCACGCCTCGGTCTGAGCGTTGGAGCTGGAGTTGCCGTTGGCTCATGCCGCCCGTTGCTGGCAACTCAACCGAGAGACGACAGCAGCGACGACGACGGCATAGCGATACCATCAACATCCACAGGGGCAGCTGTCTTCACACAGCTGCAGCCCGTCGACCAGCAGCGACGAAGGCGCCACTACCACGGCCTGTCACTTCTAGGCAATGCAACGTTCTGTGCAGCAACGGTGAGTAGATCAAATTGTTTTAAAAGTCAATTTTAAATATGAAATAGATTTGGAAGTCTTCAGATTTTGAGATTGCTACACTGCAAGCTAAAATCTAATTTAATCTTGTGGTCCCGCAGTGCAGCTTCAATTCTCCAAAAATTCTTAAATCTGACTACTTCAACTGACAATCTCAAAATCAGATTGTCAGGTTAATGCACTCAAAATGTTAATGAAGCACATACACATCACATTTGAATATATGATAAGCATACGCATGGGGCATAGACTGTTCGCAGGCCTCCTTCGATGCGGGCCTGTCAGGCACTTTAAAGCTGCCACTGTGCGACTCTAGTGTGGGGCAAACTTTCAACAGGAGCACATTTGAGCTGTGCTAATGAATTCCCCAGCAGACACACATAAACACAGCACAGTGAGACACTTTTTGTGTGTGAGTGTGTGTGTGTGTGTGTGTGTGTGTGTTGTGTGCTTGTGCCACTGACAGTCATATAATTTCTAATGTGCTGCTTTTATGATCGTCATATACAAGAGATACTCACACAATCACACACATGATGCGGTCGCGAAATACACCCACGGGTGCAGCCGCAGTCGCAGGCATCAGCGCACGTGCCTGAGCCTATGTGACTGTGTGTGTGTGTGTGTTGGTGTGTGTATCTTACTGTAAGTGTGTGCAAATTAAAATGCATAAAAGGATAACAGCGACGTTGCTGTTGTTGCAAACAAACCGCAGCAGCAGCAACGAGGCGCGGCGAGGCGAGGTGAGGCGAGGTGCCTATGCCTGTCAGCAACATTGTCATTGTTGGCAAATTTCGCGAAACTGCAACGGCAACTAAGGCAACAGCAACAGCAACAGCAACAGCAGCTATACCAATATGAGTTGAGCAGAGCTCTGGCAAATTGTACTGCAGGGAAAATTGTGATTTTCGCGCTCATCAACAACAGCAACAACAACAACAACGGCAACAACGGCAAGAACAACAGCAGCGAGGTGCACGTGTTGCTGTGCTGCTCGCTGCTTAGACGAAAGCCTCGTCTGGTTTAATTTTAGCACTGGGGATGCGGCCCAGAGCTGTGCCTACTCATTCAGCGCCTTGACACTACTGTGCTTATATACTTCTGTGTGTGTGTGTGCGTGTGTGTGTGTGTGTGTGGGTGTGTGTATGCGTCTACTTTATACATATTGCATACTGTTAGGCGCCCATAAAAAAACCTTTACGTTACCACATAAAAATAGATGCCTGCTTGTAGGTTGTTTGTGGCTGGTTTTGTTGTTGTGTTGCTGTGATGTGGAAAAAGTAGTTAGGGCCGTGCATATTGTAAAGCCGTAACGTCATAATCATCTGGAACATTTCAGTTATAAAGTTTTATATGATTTAAGCTCTTCAGACCCGTAATTATTTGGAGCACAGTAAAACGCTGAAGTTTTTATGTCAGCTTCTGTTTGACTCATGTTTACATATGAATAAGTATCATGAGTTCCATGTAACTACGTGTCCTTCCCTTTGCTCAGTCTGTCATATTTCATTCCGCATTGAATGACTCGGGGCAGAGCGATTGCCTAGGCCGGCACAACTGAGCGCATATTATTGCCAATCAAATGGAGTGCCATAAACCCGCGAGCTACTTTCAGTTTCCTGCTGATTGCAGGAAACACTTCATCAGAATAAATCAAAACAGTTCACAAGTCTTCGGGCCAACTTAATAAATGCAGGCTAGAAATGAATGGCAATCTATTGATTGAATATTGATATTCAGGTTAGCTTTAAATGTCGACAATCTAAATAAAAAAAGGAATTTCTAAATTCATTATTTTCTTTATATTTAATATGTCATTGCAAAATGTCTGTGCGCATAGGTATCTTAGATTATTTTATTACATAAACCTATCTTTTCTAGTTGCTTACTTCATCACAATTTGTTTGAAATATACAATTTATTTATTTGCATAATCTCTTTCAGTCTCTAAACTGCTCCTCAGTTAAATATTAATTCTGACTATATTCCACTTTTTTACCATCCACAAAAATCGTGCTGTCCCTCATATGCGCGTAATTCCTAAGTCAGTCAAGCGTTCAGTCCAATTTTTGGCGAATTTCTCTGTAATGTGCTTTCGATAACATTTTGCTCAAGTGACAAATTTTTGTCGCCAACGCAAACGAACAAAAAATGGGGAAAACAGAAAAAGTTCCAAAAAAACGGAATGGGTTTGCCAGGCGAATAGAGCAAGTGTTAAATGTTGACATGTCATGACATTGCAGAGAGCCATAGCAGGCCAAGCAGCTGTGCCTCGGCGAGTAAGACGAGTAGCAGCAGCGACAGAAGTGGAATATTGGTCAACAAGGAGTAAGGAGCAGAGCCCAAAGCGTTCCAGGAAGCGGCTTACGTCCTGACAGCTGACAGGCGAATCAATGAACTACGTTATGATGGGCCAGCAAGGCTCTTGGCCCGAACTCGGTTCAGACATGAAATAACATTTGCTCTTTGCTCCAAAGATGTGTGAGTGTGTATATATGTGAATGTGTGTGCGTGTGCTAATACACAGAGTAACATCAACAAATATTGTCAACGCAACATTCAACTTGTTATCCCTTCCGCTTGCTTGCTTCGCTTCCGTCGCTGTCTTTGGCTGCGTCTCTGCTTAATTTCGATTTGAACTCCATGATGGCCGCCATTTTGTCTTTCGCTCGTTCCGTCACTCTCGTTCACACTTGCTTAGGCAATGTCTCATGCCATCTCGCTCACTTATTTGCAGAAATTTATTGAAATTGTTTGTCAAATTCCGTTTACTTGTTTTGCGCATTTTGGCCAAATTTTCTTTTGCTGACAACGACGACGAACCGACGAGGACGCGGACGCAGACGAGGACGAGGACAGGCTTCCACTTCCGTTGATGTCCTTTACGCCATTTTGTCGTTTTTTCTCATTTCGGCAAGGCAGTTAATCTAAAAACTCGCTGTATACTCACTATATGACCGCTTCGTGCCATATCAAGCGCAAGTTTCGAGGCCGCCGTCGCATTTTTTTTATAAGTTTCAGCGATACAATTTTTTTCCACTTTTTTCCACCATTTCCCATACACTCCTCTATAAATGTATAAGTATAAGTGTCTTGCTAGCTAGCTGCTATATGCCAATGTTTGTTATTCATTTTGCATTCATGCAATTTTCTGTCCTCGTTGTTCTTGCTATTGTTGTTGTTGGCCAAGTAGCTAACGGAGCTGGTTTACATTTTGGGGTTTTCCTGATGGAAGCTACTGCTCATCCTCTCCTTCTCATCCGTAAAAGTAATACAACGTAATATGAAAATATTGGCAGGCGTCGAAAAGAGAGCCAGGACTTGGCCTAAAGCAAAGACTTTGAAGTTTTTATTGATGTTGTTTGAATTTGAATGACGTTGTAAAATTATACTCAAAAGTATGCAGCCAGCAAAAATACGAGTGCTTCAATAGCAGATGACAGCAAAAGAGAGAAAAGCAAATACACATCCCAAAGACACAAAAATGTTGCTAAGAATTTTTTTACTCCGCACTTACTGCCATCTTTTAGCCATTTTACCCATTGTGTGTGTGTGCGAGTTGTTGCTTTTGTTTGCTGGTAAACGGCATATGAAAAGTTTCATGTGCATATTTTTCTTAGTTCTATGTAAAGCATGGTCCGCTCTCATATATGCTATGCTATACATATACAGAGAACAAACATATATATATATATATATATATGTATATACACATTTTGGCATAAATTGTTTTTATGTGTATAAGGAAGAGGTTCAGCCAGTTTGAATGCGTTTCATATTCTGAACAGTGTGAAAATAGTTATAGTTGTATTTTTATGATTTTTTTCTATTAAAGCTAATAAAAAAATCTCTTTTGATCCGAACAAGATAACAGTGAATCAAGTCATATTTTTATCTGAGTTTTTAAACAGTTTTTATTTAACATACAGCAGAAGGCGTTTCATCGAAGCCATAGCTATTGCTTCCTCGTTGCTTTTGCCACTCTGTTTGCTTATTTATTTAATATTCAACAACAACATCCAAGTCTATCTAGCTTGTCTTGGCTTGTCTGCCTGCAACTCCCCAACTGATTTAAATTAACGTAAGTGCATTAAGAAGAGTATTATAAGTCTTTATTCTCAACCTTCAGTTGATTTGGTTCATTTTTCAATTACTTAAATTCTCTATATATTTGCTTCTATTAAGAAGAACTGCCTTTCATCACTTAAAAGATTTGCCTTCTACTTGCACAAATTAGCCAACGTCAAGCAAAGCAGAGTCTCGTATATAATTTGAGTGTGTCAGGATCTCTCAATCTCCATGAACATCAACCATTTTTTTTTGTCAAGCTTAACAAATCAAAGGCGGGGCAAGTACTTAAGCGGCAGGCAAGCCGAAATATATGGAGAACGAGAGAGAAAAAGAGTGAAAGAGTGACACGAAAATTGCACAATAACGCTAGAACGCACTTGTTCTGGCTTATTTATGCCAGGAAAAATACACACACACACACCAACACACACACGGGCGCGTACATAAGTCTATAATAGGCTCAAGACGCTTTCATTCAACACTTTTTAGGTAGCCAAAATGGCGCCAGCATAAAAAGCACGACATCAACGACGAAGACCAAAAACAACAACAACAATACCACAAAATAAAAAGAATGAAACAGGGATTGGAATGAATGGCGTAAAGAGCAGCGTAATAGACATACGCACGAAAGACAAAACTAACGGAAAAGAAAATGCCCCAGAAAACAGAAAGAAAGAAGACAAAAAAATAACGAAAAAGAAGCCAGTAAAAAAGAGTGAGCAATGCGTCTGCTTCTCACTCTTTGCATAGCTTTCAAATTCCCAGTTGCCTGGCCCGCACTGATTTGAGCCGCAAAAAAGGCAGGCAGTCAGGCGGCGGGCTGGCAGGCAGTGCAAATGTAGTGGCCGGAACACCTTTGGAACTGGACAAAAGGGGACCGTACAACATTCACCTATACATTCGCATGG